AAGGTAAATTGGTGTAACCAGGTGAGCGGGCCCTCTGGATTGAAGGTGGTGCTGCTGAACGCCAGATCTGTCAACGGAAAAACGACCTTATCCAGGACTTAATCCTGGACGAGCGGGCAGATCTGGCGTGCATTACGGAGACCTGGTTGGATGAAGCTGGGGGGGTGAATCTCACCCAGCTTTGTCCGCCAGGTTTTTCCGTACAGCACCAACCGAGATCCGGAGGACGGGGAGGCGGGGTTGCAGTGGTCTATAGAGATTCCATCCATCTGACCAGGAGCCCCATCCCGCAGACCACAAATTTTGAATGTGTCCACCTAAGGGTGGGTGACCGGGACAGAATAGGGATTCTGTTAGTGTACCGTCCACCTCGCTGCACTACAGTCTCCCTACCTGAGCTAGCGGGGGTAGTCTCGAGCCTGGCGTTGGAGTCTCAACGGCTCTTGGTGCTGGGGGATTTCAATATCCATGCCGAGACGACCCTCACGGGAGCGGCTCAGGACTTCATGTCTGCCATGGCAACCATGGGGCTGTCCCAACAAATATCTGGCCCCACCCATTGTGCTGGACACACATTGGACTTGGTTTTCTGCCAGGGATGGGAGCAGGGTGGCGGTGTGGAGGAGTTGTCTATCTCTCCGTTGCCATGGACTGACCACTTCCTGATCAGATTTAGGCTCACTGCACCCCCTAACCTCTGCAAGGGTGGAGGACCCATTAAGATGGTCCGCCCCAGGAGGCTTATGGATCCGAACGGATTCCTGACGGCTCTTGGGGATTTTCCCGCCTCCGCGGTAGGTGACCATGTCGAGGCCTTGGTCGCTCTCTGGAATGGGGAGATGACCAGGGCAATTGACACGATCGCTCCGGAACGTCCCCTCTCAAGTAGCCGAGCTAAACCAGCCCCTTGGTTTACTGAGGAGCTGGCAGTGATGAAGCGAAGGAAGAGGGAACTAGAGAGCGTGTGGCGTTCAGACCCAAGCGAGTCAAATCGAACACGGTTTGTGTCCTTTTTAAGGGCATATGCCGCGGCAATAAAAGCCGCAAAGAAAACCTTCTTTGCAGCTTCTATTGCGTCTGCAAAGAACCGTCCGGCGGAGTTGTTTCGGATTGTCAGAGGTCTTTTAACTCCCGCCACTTCAGGCGGGAGCCCTGACAATTCGGTCACGCGCTGTGAAGCATTTGCTCGGTTCTTTGCAGACAAAGTCGCTTTGATCCGTTCTGAGCTGGACACCATGTTAAATGCAGTCTCTGTGGATGTGACACGAGCACCTGCTTGTCCTATTTTGATGGATTCTTTTCAGTTTGTGAAGCCCGAGGATGTGGACAAGATACTTGGAGGAATGAGGCCCACCACGTCCATCCTAGACCCCTGCCCATCCTGGCTTCTGAAGGAGGCCAGAGGGGGATTGGCTGAGTGGGTAACGGTGGTGGTTAATGCCTCCCTTCGGGAAGGCAAGATTCCAGCGTGCTTAAAACAAGCAATTATAAAACCGCTGTTGAAGAAACCATCATTGGACCCCACTAAATTTGACAACTTTCGGCCTGTTTCCAATCTCCCCTTTTTGGGCAAAGTCATGGAAAGCGTGGTGGCCTCACAACTCCAGGTATTCTTGAGAGACACGGATATTCTGGATCCGGCACAGTCTGGTTTCAGACCGGGACATGGTACCGAGACGGTCTTGGTCGCCTTAGTGGATGATCTGCGCCGGGAGCTAGACAGGGGGAGTGTGTCCCTGTTGGTGCTCCTGGACCTCTCAGCGGCCTTCGATACCGTCGACCACGGTATCCTTCTGGGGCGCCTTGCAGAAATGGGTCTTGGGGGCACTGCTTTGCAGTGGCTCCAGTCATTTCTGGAGGGTCGTACCCAGAAGGTGTTATTGGGGGACTGCTGTTCAACACCACAGCCTTTGACCTGTGGGGTTCCACAGGGTTCTATATTGTCCCCCATGCTGTTTAATATCTACATGAAGCCGCTGGGTGAGATCATCCGGAGTTTCGGGGTGCGGTGTCATCTGTACGCAGATGATGTCCAACTCTGTCACTCCTTTCCACCTGCTACTAAGGGGGCTGTCGAGGTCCTGAACCGGTGCCTGGCCGCTGTAATGGTCTGGATGAGGGCGAACAAACTGAAATTAAATCCAGACAAGACAGAGGTACTCCTGGTCAGTCGCAAGGCCGAACAGGGTATAGGGTTACAGCCTGTGCTGGACGGGGTCGCACTCCCCTTGAAGGCGCAGGTTCGCAGCTTGGGTGTGACCCTGGATTCATCTTTGAGCCTGGATCCCCAGGTTTCAGGGGTGACCAGGGGAGCATTTGCACAGCTTCGGCTCGTGCGCCAGCTGCGCCCGTATCTTGGGAAGTCTGACTTGGCCACGGTGGTACACGCTCTGGTCACATCCCGCCTTGACTACTGCAATGCTCTCTACGTGGGCTGCCCTTGAAGACGGCCCGGAAGCTTCAGCTAGTCCAGCGCGCGGCAGCCATGTTACTAACAGGAGCGGGACGCAGGGAGCACACAACGCCCTTGTTGTTCCAGCTCCACTGGCTGCCGATTTGCTACCGGGCCCAATTTAAGGTGCTGGTGTTATCCTACAAAGCCCTAAACGGTTCCGGCCCAAAATACCTTTCGGACCGCATCTCGGCCTATGAGCCCACGAGGGCCTTGAGATCATCTGGGGAGGCCCTTCTCTCGATCCCGCCCGCCTCACAGGCACGTCTGGCGGGGACGAGAGAGAGGGCCTTCTCAGTGGTGGCCCCCCGGCTGTGGAACGCCCTCCCTGTTAACATCAGACAGGCGCCCTCCCTGATGGCTTTTCGTAAGAGCCTAAAGACCTGGCTATTCGAGAAAGCATTTAATTGAGAGCCATATGACTCTGGTAATGACATTCGGAACGGACTATGGATTATGAGATTGGCTATGATTCCATGTTGTGATGGCGCGGATTTTTAGTGTAATTTAGATTAATGTGTAATTTGGTTGCTGATTTATTGTATGTTTTGTAGACTGTTTTTTACATGTTGTACACCGCCGCGAGTCGCCCCAGGGCTGAGAGCGGCGGTCAACAAATGAAGTAAATAAATAAATAAATAAATCTGGAACCAGATTGTATGGAAGAAAAATTATTATTCAGTAGTATCCAATGTGTTTCTAAGCACACTCCAAGATTTTGTTATGACTTGCATCAGAAGAATTCCTATTTTGCACCCATTATCCATCCACATTCATACACCCTGATCAAGTTTTCTCTAACTTTTGATGCTAAACAGAAGATAACTGGAGAAAGGTCATTTTTTTTTTTGCCAGAGCCTAGCTTCACAGACTAGGGTTAAAATTTCATAAGTCTTCTTACATATTTATTGTTTTGTTTCTACTATTATGATTGCACTTATAAATGTTTGCTGCTTTTTATGTTTGCTGTTTTGATGCTGTGAACCCTTTTTCATTGCAATATAGTGTTTTAAAGTATAATTAGTCTTAACTTTATTTTTGCTTATCTAATTTTTTGGCTTTTAGCTTTGGAGACTGGTATAACATTAGATGTATTGTTCCTCTAAGCTGTTTTATTGCTTACAAGTCAGCGTAGTGCTTTATATTTCTGTGCATTGGCAAGGCAAATGTGTGGCTTGTAAATATTCTAAATAATCTAACATTGGGATGGTCTGCACATGGAACATAATGAGTTGGACTGAAGGTAAGAAATATTTTGAATACTGCTCTACATCTGAAAAGTGCTGGTTTTCATATTATGCAGATTATTCTTTTTTCTTTTTTCTTTTCAAAATATAAAAAAAATGTCTTTGTGTGTCTGTAGTCTGAAGTGGCACAGTGAATTCTAGGATCTCAATATTCTAGTTGTCACTCTAACCGCAGTTTTGATGCTCCAGACATTCAACGCAATCCTAAATGTGTTTACTTAGAAGTCAGTCCTAGGAAACTATTTTACAACCCACTTTCCTCCCAGAAAGTGGGGTTCAAAGCAGTTCTAGGACAGCTCCTGTGATACTCAATTCTTCTAGATTTCCAACTTTAACAAATGAACAGTATTAACTATTCACATGACAGCCAATTTATGATTATTCATTATGGTCACAATCACAACAAAGAAACTAATTCCTACACTACTATCAGTGTAGAATATTTTTTACAACACACGGGTATGCAATAGAAGAATTATGGCACAAGATCAGTAAAGTTCTCTCCCCTCTTTCTCTCTTTGCATAAAAAAGACAGTCCAAGCAATCTGGGTGGTAGTTAGGGACTGGAAATGCCTCCCCACATGTGTGAGTTTAATTTCTGCAATAATAAATTTTGAGCTCAATTAGAGGAGGACTTGGTCTATGAAGCCATTGCCATCCTGGCCCCACAAATAGGGAAAAGAATAACATTGGTGGGTAAAAGGGCTGCCACCCAGGAGGAACCATTTCCTAGTAAGGAATGGACTTTTTATGAGTCCTCGTCCTCCTTTCTGATATCCATTTATTGGACCAGTCTGAGCATTTGAGTGTTTGAGGAGACAGCAAGCATGTTAAATATGATTGTGTGGGATCCCTTAAGATATTCATGATTTTTCCACTTTCATGGGGATCTGGTTCTGCTAAACTTCAAATTTAAAAAAATCACATTTCACTGTAAACCAGGTAAAATCGCAATTGGAATAACCAAAACATCATCTGAAAAGACTCTTTCCAAAGTATGACAACACAGTTTACCAAAGTGGTAATCTAGAATTTTCATGTATTGCATGATTATTAGTTGTCATAGTCCAAATTGTTTCCTTGATATGAGCTCAYTCTTTTTTTTTTTTGGTAAGATAAAAGAATTCCAAAGATAAAAGGAAGGAGGAAGAGGAAGAAGAAGAAGAAGAGGAGAATGGTTAGGCACTTCAAGCAACTTATTTGTAACCATAGCCCAAGGCCTCCCCCCCCCCCCCAGATTCTTTGAAGCTGCAATAAAAATTACATAAAATATTCAAACTTGAATGAGCAATTTTACTTACTGTTTCTTGGATGCCAGCGTACTGCATTTAAATATGCATTACAGTAATGGAAGAGAAACTCATGTTTCGAGTGGAGAGCTGTGCCTTGAAGCAAGGGCATCAGATCATGTCCATCAATAATTCTGAATAAGAAAGCATTTCAAAATCAAAAAAAGAAACTTTATGCTGCTAGCCTGAAAAGAAACTTTATGCATTGCTTCTCTTTATAAATGCCACAAATACCACTGCAACAGAAATACCAGAGTGTCCAGGTCATCCCTCACAGCACTACAAGCATTTGTATTTTTGTACTCAGTGGGTGAGCTACAGTTAAATCTGGCTCTCAGATGAGCACATCTGTACGGACATGTGCAAAAGATATATTTGTCTTATTTGCATGTTATGTTTTAGTTGTGCTTTAAACAAATTTCAGTGCATCTCTACAAATTTAACATAAGAGCAGTGCAAAAAGCTGTTTCTCTCTTTGCATTAAACATCCAACCCATACATTATCTGAAACAATTTATGATGTCTATGCAAACTTTTGTATAAGAAATGCATAGTTCAGCTGTTCTTTTAGCCAAGCTTAGAGGCACAGTGCTTCCGCAAAACTAACAGCAATTTATAATTCAACAGATTATCTTTGGGAGGCAGTTAAAAATTCCACATTCCTGATTTGCTTGGTTTAGCCTGCTTTAATTCTTTTTAATTCACACACTATTCCAAATTATATTACTAATGTGGAGTTAGGAATGATGTCAGGAATTCTTCTAGAACTTATGCTCACTTTTTCAGCATTTCAATTTCTGAAAAATGAGTAGAGTTTAAGAACCAAGAACCACTTATACTTGATTTGAAACAATTGAGAGGAACTAATTTGTGTCAGTTTTTAAAAGAGCTTGGTTTTCTACTCTTCTCACAGATTATTAATTCCTTGAATATATGGGCTTGTCCTTTTAGAACACTATTCTTCCATAAGCTACCTCTGAATAATATCCTGACTTTGGAATTTAATACATAAAGTTATTAATTTGCTCATTTTAGCGATTTCATCTTATTTTCTAGATTCATGGATTAATGCTGGACTTCAAAATATTTTCAGTGAATTAGTTGTTAGAATTCATCAAGACATACCTTTCCATACATCACATTCAGTAAATCAGGAAAGCCAGCTGCCTCCAAAGAAGAAATATTAGAAATTGTGTAATATAGAAGGAACACTAATCTGTGTGATTTCTTTGAAATGTAACAGCAATGGGAGAGAGCAAACTTTTTGGATCCCAAATCAGATAGCAAGATTTGTGGAGCTGTGGAAAAATAAGTTTAGGAAAAAGAATAGACAAGCAGGTAAACTTGAACCATAGGATAAAACAGGAATGAAGGGAGTGATTCATTCCTTAGCGGAAGAAGAATACTTAAGTAGCCAGAGTCCTTCCAATATGCTTCCTTGTGGCCTGCATGAAAGCAAAATGTTTGTGTCTTTCTGGAGAGGTATTGTTTTGAATCCATTTTGACTGTTCAGTTATATTTCCTACTGATTATGTGTGGGAGTGGTTTCTATTGTATTATTATGATATAATATACATAATAATATAATTCAGGGTGAGCTACAATGAACCCCTTTGCAATTTTATCATGTATTACATATACTGTGTTAGGCCCTTTGTAATCATGAAGTTTTCTTCAAACACTCTGCAGTTCTTTCTCTCTCCTTTTTTCTCCTTTCCCGCCCTAATCATTTGATATATTATCTACCCATCTTTTCTTCCTATACAACTTGTATACACTTATATAAGTGAGGTAAGAAGTGAGCAGGGAAAAGCTAGCTTGTTGTATTTGTGATCATTATAACAGTTGCTGATGTCCAGATTATATTTGGAATTCTTGACTCTTGTGTGCAAAATCTGCGCTCTACAATTGACCTTTGCAGATTAGCAACTGATTTTTGGGAGGCTGAAAGAATGGTAAGAAAGCTCTAGCTCTGAGCTGAGGCCGCAATCCTTTTAACGGTTTGTAGCTAATGTAAGGGAAATATTTATGTTAGATTAAGGTAATTTTAAAAGGACTAGCAAAAAGCCCCTTTGAAGAACCAGAAACAAAGTATGTCTCCCTATGGTCAACAATGGTCATTCCTTTCTCTGCATATTCCATGGCCTGGCCCAAAGTCACCATTCTGAGTTAATAATTTAATGGATTCAGTGATTCTACTTAACGATATTACTTATTATATTAATGAACTGATTTTCTATTTCTAACATTTAACACTAGTCATCAAACCTAACATTCAAAGCTGTGAGGAGGTGTCATACCAGAATTGTGAAGCAATGCAGATATTGCCAGAACCACGTGTAGTGAGGAGTTGAAAGGATTTTGGGTCCCAAAAAGCTCCAGCAAAAGCAAAGTGATTTCCTGTTGCTTGAGGAAAGTTAGGCAAGGAAGGTAAATAACAAAAAAGGTTTAGTAATAAGGCTACACCTTATATAATGGATAGCTCTAAAAACCTGTCAAGCCCCAGGCAGTTTTTCCTTCCTTTCTACCCTATACTTGTTTTCTCATGCTAAATGAGAGATGCGGCATAATTTCATATTTGCTAGTGAAAATGCCAGATCAGCATCTAATTCCATCTGGTATTTGTGTAATGACCAACTAGGAAACACTTACATGGTTACCTGTGCCTTCTTGATTGGCCAAAAAAGATATTGCCACATTATGAACTTCAGAATCTAACTAGACAATGCCTCGTCATGTGACTCTTTGGACAAATGACAGGCTGATCACATTTTCCATAATTTGATGATAAAGGAACTGCCTTTTTGGTGGTTAATGCATAGTTTTCATGCCATTTAGCTAAACTGACTAATGATCAGTTTAACTATGCATCTAAACATATGCTTAAAAGGGTGCTAACTGTAATACATTTCACTAGAAGCAAATTCCACAGAATCCAAATGCTTTCTGAGTATAAGCCCTGTTGAAATTATTGAAACTTGCTCTGTGTGAAGGACAATAAACATCATTTGATTTCTTTCATTGAGCTCTTTATTCTGGTGTTACGATTGCCACAACTCATTTTAAATCAAATGATTACTGTATTATTGTGAAACAAAAATTTGATACAAAAAAGATTCCTTCCTATGGGGGAAAATCCTTTCCAAGGGGCTAGGTTTCCATAAAAGTTGCACATGTCAAGATTACTGAACCAATGAAAGTATGGCAAAGTTACTGCTTGCCTTAAATATCCCAAGGTAGTGATGGATCTAATCTTACACATTCTTTACCCTTCTTTTCCTGTCTTTCCCTACAAGCACTTGATAAATCATCAGCTGTAAAGAAGAATCTCTTGACAGCAGCTCTGCTGAAATGCCACTTTGGTTTGTCAGCTGGTAATTCTCTTCCCCTCAATTCCATTTTGTGCTATGCAAAATTAAATGCAGCTATGCTCTCTTTGCACTCAGAATAGTTTGGTATCAAGCAAAATATGATGGACTAAGTCATGTGCAAGCTAACTAGATTTAACATTCATCTTATAAATCCAGCAAGCACACTTAAAGATGAATACTCCATGTCCCCAAGACTATGTGGCTCTAAAGCAGAGAAAGTTCCTGATTTTGGAACTACGCCTTTCAGAATCATTTCTAGCTGGAGAATTTTAGAAGTTTGTTTTTTCAAAAGGTAACTTTTAGTTTTAGTTGGGTGGGCAATATCATTTTCTGTTCTACATCAGGGAGGAACGGATATTTGGAAAGTCCTGAATGCATCCTACAAGAAAGAAAGAGAGAAGGAAGGAAGGAAGGAAGGAAGGAAGGAAGGAAGGAAGGAAGGAAGGAAGGAAGAGCATGTAAAAAGGCTGGACTCTTAAAACCATCTATAAACTGCAGCCAAGCCAACTCTCCACATTCACTGGGGTTAGGGCTCAGGAGCCCCACAAAAGTGAAAAAATACAAATAATAAAATTGCTTTTTTTACCTGAGAGAACATCTCTCCAGGAATCTCTAGGTTTTCTAGTGTGATTTCTATGCTCAGCATACGCCAGATCATACTGGAGGACTAACAGATTGCTAGCTATGTGTTTTGTCTAGGAAACTCTATGTTGTCTAGTATGATTCTGTAATCAATTTCAACCTGAACGTCATGATACAGTTGCATTGGAGGACCTAAAGACTTCTAAAGAAAACATTTTAATCAAATCCATGAATAATCAAATCTGCAAATGCCAAATCTACAAATGTGGAGGGGTGATTGTAGTAGGGTTGTAACTGAACCAGAAAACTTCTGTAGAGTAGCATATGCCAAGTTAACTAGCTTGTTAGCTGGAGCAAAGATTGGAAAAGATATTCTTAATTTAGATAGGTAAATCCGTTTTAAATTTGCAAGGTGCATATGAACACTACTTGTCAGGGCAGTATTACTTTAAACCTGTGGAGGAAAGTTCACAGCTGGTGATTTATTGATTGTATGTAAGAAAGAACAGAATGGTGTTGGCATCGTGCCCAAACATCTATAGCTTGATCAAAAAGAACATGTAAGACAGGTATAGAGAACTGTCAGGAAGAAAAACCCATCTTCTTAAGCTACAAAGGGGGGGGCAATTAAAAATACTGCTACTGTGTTATTATAGAAGAGAAAGATCAAAGTCCTTGACGGTTCATGGGGAAAACCTGGAAATCTAGCTATGGAGTGAAAATTGCCAAACACTGCAGTAGTGAAGAACAATAGAAAAATGTTTTCTTTCTGTATGACATGACTGTGACAAAGTAAGAGGCAGATAGTAGACAGACATAAACATACATAACACGTGTAGCCTAGGGTTGTCCATCTGTACTGTGATGCATTTGATTCCTTATTTTAATTATCTCCTGTCCTGTCCAAATGTTATCTCATTTTACCTTAATACTATTCCTGTGCTGCAAAAATGTCGTAATGGAAAAATAAATTAGATGTAAAAACACATTGCTATAGAAAGTGTTGTATTCTTCTTTGTTATATATTTAAGGAAAGGCTTAAGTGTCAACCTATGTGAAATGATGTAGTCCTGGATTTTCCACATGATCATGTATGATTCTCCTCCATGCACTCTGAAGTAGTATAGTTCAAAAAAAGTTCTAACATGTGATGATTTCTTGGTGCTCACGAGATCCTGCATCCTTCATGAATAAGGAGATGTTCGCAGATTATATGTCCACTTCGCTGAGAAGATCTGACAGCTCTTGTAAGGAGCAGGGACGGCTGGGGTGAGAGATTGATTTTCCATCATTTTGAGTAAAGCTCTGATTTTAGAGCTGAGCTAGGCAGAGTTGTATGTAGGGATGAAGAAGCTTTAAAAACTATGTTTAAAAGATCTGATCAACCAAACCCTGGAATAAACATCTGTGTGCAACTACAATTCAGTCATAAGATGAAGAAATCGCTCCTATAAATGTGTACGAGATATAATAAATAAAACTAAACTTAAGAGACATATGAGGTCTCAAAGTACTTTCAGTCCTACCAAACATGCATTTTTACAACAAATTTCATTGTCCTACCTGTCAGTAGGTAATTGGGCCCCAGCAAGTTTAACTATGGTGGGGAATATATCCATATTACTTGTTGGTTCATCAATACTTATATCAGGTTTCAACACTCCAGGCCAATAGAGAAGACCGGGGATTCGAATCCCTCCTTCCCAATTTGTAGACTTTCCACCTGAAAAAAAATCACAACCATTCAGCTTTGAACTACCTTTTACTTAAACACATCAAATATTGAAAGCAAAGGAGCTAATTAATCCTTGAGTTTGCTTAACTATGCTTGGGAAAACTTTTGAGGATGGACCTTTTATACACTTACATAGTTAGTGTGACGCCGCGTGTGGCACCACCTATATGTAGAACTGTTAGTTGCAGGATATTATTATGCCTGTTTACCTTGTATATGTATAGTTAAATTTCATTGGTTATTGGTCATTGGTTATTATAGCTGTCAATTTATTGTTGTTGTGCACCAATTGGCTTGTTTCCCCAGTTCATTTGTTTAGGCTCCGCCCCTTCCAAGGGGAAAAAAAGGTATCTCTCTCACCTTTTTTTACCTCACAAAAAAGGCTCATTAGATGGACGTGCGTAAAGCTTGGCCCAAAGCCCCTAGTCAAGTCATTTTTTACCACCAATTCTGAGGTTTTACCCCTGAGACTTATTCTTTATGTTCAAACCACCCTGAACGAAATTGGGAAGTCTCAGGCGCCTTCACACCGGTTCTTTTGGCATCAGAGGAAGGTTTTGTCCTTCAACATAGGCTATTTGACTGGGGTTGTGTTTATTCCGATATTCACAGCCATTGAGAGAGAGGGAACAGGAAAAGCTTCTCAGCTAATAACTCCTAGGACCCTGGACTTTAGAGTTTGTAAAGTATTTTTCCCTGTTGAAACATCAAGTTTGTGCCTAAGAAAGATAACTCATTGTCAACAATAAATACCATTTCGAGTTACCTGTTGTGTTCTGGTCCTTGGGAGTTCCAGTTTCCCTAAAGGAGGGCAAGAAGCAATCCCCTGGGGAAAGATGTCACGTCCATGCCTCTTGCCTCTTTCTCTAAGAGCTATAGCCCCAGGCGCGACGGCACAGTTAGTATGTTTACCGAAGGACTGTGGACATTTTAGTCCAAATGTTTTGAAGTTTCAATTATTTATAATTATTTATTCTCGACCTCCGAAGAGGGACTCAGGCCGGTTCACATCATCATCATCATTATCATCATCATCACTTTATTTCTTAATTAGTCGCTCTCCACCAAGGTGCTCCGAGTGACTTACAATTTAAAACAGTTTATACACAATATAAAAACATTCAATATAAAAACATTCAACATAAAAACATTCAGCAGTGACTATGGCAAAATTTGATCCGGTTACTTAAATGCACAACCAAACAGCCAAGTCTTGAGCGCCTTTGCGCAACAGGAGATTCATAGACAATAGTATAAAACATCACAGCCTCATAATACATTAATACATAAAATACATTAAAATACAATCATACAATTACCCAAGGCCAGGTCGTCAGAGTGAAATCACAATTCATCACCATCCGTCAGTGTGGTCAAGAGTTACTGACTCAGTCATCATTCTGCAAATGCCATATTCCAAAGCTAAGATTTTACCAGCTTTCTAAAAGTCAGGAGAGAAGGAGCAAATCTAATCTCCAGCGGGAGAGAGTTCCAGAGCCGAGGGGCCACCACCGAGAAAGCCCTGTCCCTCGTCCCCACCAGGCGCGATTGTGAGGGTGGTGGGACCGAGAGCAGGGCCCCTCCAGAAGATCTTCACAACCTTGATGGTTCATAGGGGAGAATCCGTTCGGACAGGTAAACTGGGCCGGAGTCGTTTAGGGATTTATAGGTCAGCACCAGCACTTTGAATTGTGCTCGGAAGCTAATTGGCAGCCAGTGGAGCTGGCGCAACAGAGGAGTAGTATGCTACCTGTACCCCGCTCCTGTTAGTAATCTAGCTGCCGCTCGTTGGACTAATTGAAGTCTTCAGAGGCAACCCCACGTAGAGAGAGTTGCACTAGTCTATACAGGATGTAACCAGAGCGTGGACCACCGTGGCCAAGTCAGAGTTCCCAAGGTACGGGCGCAGCTGGCGCACACATTTTAATTGTGCAAAAGCTCCCCTGACCACCGCCGTGACCTGAGGTTCCAGGCTCAGTGATGAGTCCAGGATCACTCCCAAAGTGCAAACCTGTGCCTTAAGGTGGAGCATAGGCTGTAACCTTATGCCCTGTTCGGCCTTTCGACTGACCAGGAGTACTCTGTCTTGTCTGGATTTAGGTTCAACCTGTTGGCCCTCATCCAGTCCATTATAGTAGCCAAGCACCGGTTCAGGACTTGAACAGCCTCCTTAGTAGCAAGTTCGGAAGGAGTAACATAGTTGGACATCATCTGCATACAGATGACACCGGACCCCGAAACTCTGGATGATCTCTCCCAACGGCTTCATGTATATGTTGAACAACATAGGGGACAGTACTGAGCCCTGCGGGACCCCACAGTACAATGGCCGCGGGGTTGAGCAGGAGTTCCCAAGCAACACCTTCTGGGAGTGACCCTCGAGGAAGGACTGGAGCCACTGCAAAACAGTACCCCCAAGGCCCATTCCCGCGAGGCATCCCAGAAGGATACCGTGGTCGACGGTATTGAAGGCCGATGAGAGGTCCAGCAGAACCAACAGGGAAACACTCCCCCTGTCCAGTTCCCGGTGAAGATCATCAACTAAGACGACCAAGGCTGTCTCGGTACCATGTCCCGGCCTAAAGCCAGACTACGCCGGATCCAGATAATCCATGTCTACCAAGAAATCCTGGAATTGTGAGGCCACCACACATTCCAGGACTTTGCCCAAATAGGGAAGATTGGAAACTGGCCGATAGTTGACAATTTGAGTGGGGTCCAGTGATGGCTTTTTCAACAGCGGTTTTATAACAGCTTGTTTTAAGCTGGCTGGAATGTTGCCTTCCTGAAGGGAGGCATTAACCACCACCTTTACCCATTCTGCCAAACCCCCTCTGGCTTCCTTTATCAGCCAGGATGGGCAGGGGTCTAGGATGCAAGTGGTAGGCCTCGCCTCCCCAAAAAAATCCTGCCGACATCCTTGAGTTGAACAGATTGAAACGAATCCATCAAAACTGGACAAGCAGGTGCTCGTGTTGCATCATCAGAGACTGCCGTTAACATGGTGTCAAAACCTGAACGGATCAAAGTAACTTTGTCCGCAAAGTACTGAGCAAAGGCTTCGCAGCGGGCTGCCAAGTTGTCAGGGGACCCATCCTGGAAGGTGGGCTTCAACAACCCTCTGACTACTCGAAACAACTCCGCTGGACGGTTCCTTGTGGATGCAATATTAGCCAAGTAGAAGGAATTTTGTGCAGCCTCTATTGCCGCGCCATACACTCTTGAATAAAGGCATAGGTGTGTTCGATTTGACTCTCTAGGCTTTTTCCGCCACATGCTCTCTAGCCTTCTCTTTGTTCGCTTCATCGCTGCCAACTCCTCGTTGAACCAAAGAGATGGTTTAGCTCGGCTACTTAAGGGGGGGGGCGCTCTGGAGCGATTGTGTATATTGCCCTAGTCAACTCATTTCAAGGCAAGGAAGAGACAGGAGGAGAGCCAAGCTACTGGTGCACGAGGATGAGAAGTGATGTTATAGAATAGTATCTGTGTAACAGTTTTTACTCAGACTTTATGATGAGGTGGTTTAATTGTTAGACAAGGACTTTGAGTCCTTGCACAACTGGAAACCAACTGGTTTGACCTTGTACAAGTCACACACTCTCGTTTCCTGAGAAAGACAATGGTAATCCTCCTCTGGATAAATCTTGCCAAGAAAAACTTATAAAATGATCACCATTAAGTTGGAACTGACTAGAAGGCATACAACACCAACCAGAGTTTGCTTCTGGCAGAAGGATAAGGTCTTTGGTTAGTTCCACTCTTTATATAGTTGGTCTTCCCCTTTCCAAAATCATAGAATCATAGATAGAATCATAGAATCAAAGAGTTGGAAGAGACCTCATGGGCCATCCAGAACAACCCCCTGCCAAGAAGCAGGAATATTGCATTCAAATCACCCCTGACAGATGGCCATCCAGCCTCTGTTTAAAAGCTTCCAAAGAAGGAGCCTCCACCACACTCCGGGGCAGAGAGTTCCACTGCTGAACGGCTCTCACAGTCAGGAAGTTCTTCCTCATGTTCAGATGGAATCTCCTCTCTTGTAGTTTGAACCATTTCACGTCCTAGTCTCCAGAGAAGCAGAAAATAAGCTTGCTCCCTCCTCCCTGTGGCTTCCTCTCACATATTATACATGGCTATCATATCTCCTCTCAGCCTTCTCTTCTTCAGGCTAAGCATGCCCAGCTCCTTAAGCCGCTCCTCATAGGGCTTGTTCTCCAGACCCTTGATCATTTTTAGTCGCCCTCCTCTGGACACATTCCAGCTTGTCAATATCTCTCTTGAATTGTGGTGCCCAGGATTGGACACAATATTCCAGGTGTGGTCTAACCAAAGCAGAATAGAGGGGTAGCATGACTTCCCTAGATCTAGACACTATGCTCCTATTGATGCAGGCCAAAATCCCATTGGCTTTTTTTGCTGCCACATCACATTGTTGGCTCATGTTTAACTTGTTGTCCACGAGGACTCCAAGATCTTTTTCACACGTACTGCTCTCAAGCCAGGCGTCCCCCATTCTGTATCTTTGCATTTCATTTTTTCTGCCAAAGTGGAGTATCTTGCATTTGTCACTGTTGAACTTCATTTTGTTAGTTTTGGCCCATCTCTCTAATCTGTCAAGATCCGTTTTGAATTCTGCTCCTGTCCTCTGGACTATTGGCTATCCCTCTCAATTTGGTGTCGTCTGCAAACTTGATGATCATGCCTTCTAACCCTTCATCTAAGTCATTAATAAAGATGTTGAACAGGACCGGGCCCAGGACGGAACCCTCCGGCACTCCACTTGTCACTTCTTTCCAAGATGAAGAGGAAGCATTAGTGAGCACTCTCTGTGTTCGTCCACTTAACCAATTACAGATCCACCTCACCGTAGTTTTGCCTAGCCCACATTGGACTAGTTTCCTTGTCAGAAGGTCATGGGGGACCTTGTCGAAGGCCTTACTGAAATCCAGGTACGCTACATCCACGGCATTCCCCGCATCTACCCAGCT